TCGGGACCTGAGACCTTAAAGCTTCTCTGCTGCAGAAGTGGGGCAAGGGCTGAACCTTGCAATATGTGACGACAAAAGCACTTCCCCCTGTTTGACGGGGCAGCTGCTTCAATTGCCCGAGCCCTACATGCAGGAGACCAAGAAGTGAACCTAAAAGCCCTGAGGCGTCGTCCGGCAAAGGCGGGAACCGGTGCTGCTTCCAGGTCGCTTGCCTCAACGACTGCAGAGCCCAGGCTTTTCAGAGGTTTAGGGTTTAGGATGTAGCAGCCGACGACACATGCCCCTACTTGGCGCAACATCACACCTGTAACCATCAAGCATTCAACCATCCCCTTTCATTCAACCATCCCCCTTCACTCTAAAGGTAAAGCCGTCATCCTTCCCACTCTCAAGCTTGAACACCAGACCTTGGAAAGCCTAAACCTCTTCGTAGGATTGATGACTTCTCACGCGTTGCAGGTTTAGGGTTGCCAGGTAGCCGTTGGAGGTTTATAGCTTTGATAGATACTAGCTGTCTTTGTGCAATGAGAGTCAGACTCAATGTGCTTGGGGCACGGGACACAGGACTCTCAACATCACGGATCTCTGTGTGAAGGCGTCAAATCTTCCCCACATCATGTGTTCAAGTGCAAAGCTTCGAGGACTACTCGTCATGGCGATGCGGCTTTCTCGTCTTGGCATGGGGCGCTTCAGGATCTTGCAATTTAGCTCTTAAGATTCATCCAAACCTTTTAGCAGGCTCTCACACACCCCACATGCTCCTCTGCATGGGTGTGCCAAGAAACCTGGAATTTTAATTGGAATTGCTTCCGGGACTTCTGAGGGCCACACTCCTTTACTCGCTGCGCCATGGCTTGATCCTGAGGAAAAGCCCTGGGCTTAGGGTGTGGGGCCCAGCAGTTACGTAAGCGCCTGAGTTTGCACTCGGCATTCAAATCTGAAGCAAAATCCGGTACAAGCCAGTTCCGAAGTCCAGGTTTCTGTAATAACCTGAGTGATGACATTGCCATTCCCCCTGTGGCTTCACTGACGGCTTCACCAGCACGATATGATTCTGGCTCTGACGTGAATTCCTGCTTGAATTGTCAGCCAATTAACCAACATGTGCCTGAAACTGCCATCACAGCCTTGGAACCAAATTTCACGCCTATCAACCAACAGGCTCGCCAACAAGCAGCCATTAGAGTAATAAACCCTGAAGCAAACGAAGCTGCACCCTGAAGCCTGTTGCAACCGGAAGAAGAGACCCAGCGGTTCTTATTGGGACTCCCAAAATGACTCTTCAGTGCTGTGCATATTTTGAATAGGGCGAATATTGTATTTAGTTACAAGTGCTTTTGTTCGTATTGCTACTATTCTTATTACGATTGCAGGTATTACCGCTTCTGTACTTGGAGAGTTAAACACCAATGGCCTTTTTTCAGATCCCTATGTTACGAGAATCCCCGGTCTGCTTCTCCCTTGCCTTTTCTGGATCGGGCGGTGGTAGCCCTCCATACAGGCTTTCCAGGACGTCATCTGCCTTCGGGTGCTAACCCCACTCCTAGAAAAGACAATCGGAACGCTGCCAGGAGGAGGTCTGAAGCAAAATGCGGTGAAACCGGAGAAAAGAGCGTCAAGGCACAACCTCATGACTGCATGCGCTTCCCACTTCCTGCTGGATATGCTTGTTGCAAGCCTTTGCACCCTACCCTACCCTACTACCCTACCCCACCCTTCCCTACCCTACCCCACCCTACCTTACACTACCCTACCCTTAAGTAAATCCCAGTCTTCAGTCGGAGCTCGGAGAGCGGGGCCTGGGCCTTGGACTTCTTGGCTCTCTCGGCCGCTTCCTCTTTCTGCCTTTTGACTTCCTGGGTTTAAGGTTTGGGGTTTAGGGTTTAGGGTGTAGGGTTTTTTTTTTTTGAGCCCCTTTTTAGGGTTTAGGGTGTAGGGTTTAGGGTGTAGGGTTTAGGGCGTAGAGATTTGGGTTTAGGGTGTAGGGTTCAGGGTTAGGGTAGCACAGCGGAACCAAACGGGACACCCACGATATCCCCTTCTTGCCTCTGTGAGGGGGTCCAAACCCTAGATGCGATTTGAGTTTTTTGGTCAAACCGCCAGCAATCCCCGGCTGCCAGGGTGGCCATCAGACACCTCGTAAAGCCTCAGGAGCCGAAGCAAGCCTCTCTAAACCGGTAAGCACGGAATCTTTTCCGGAAGTGATCAAAAAATCAGCACAAGATGACGAATGCGCAGGCCTCCATCTTCCGTTTCTTCCTTGCCTCCTCCACACCCGCCTCCCACATGCACAAGCACTATGGAGTCTGGCTGATCCCGGGCTCGAAATTGCGTCAGAAGCTTCGGGGCGGATGACACAAGATTCGAGCTCATGGCCAGACTGAGCTCTTGTGATGGATCTACGATGCGACACGGCCTTTCGGGTTTCGGGCCTCGTGGCTACATGCAGTTCGCAAGATGAGAAATGTTAGGGCGAAGACTACGGGGAGGATGCTGCTAGATCATGTGAGATCCTGTTTCCCGGCTTACAGCAGCAACATTCCAATTCGCTGACGAAAGAACTACGAAGACAAGGTCCAGCGCAGCCTTCACCCGCTCAGCGCGCTCCTCCGAACAAGCTCATTTTGGGGATGCTGTTATGTACTTGCCGGATCTTCTCGGAATTGCAGCATCAGGGTCGTGTACATCTGTATCGCCAGGTGGGCTTGGGATGCGGGTTGTTCGATGCTGCTAGGGCTTCGGCAGCTGCTCGAGGATGCGGGCACTCTTACAAACAAGAAGAGCGATGCCTTGGCGGCCACAGTCAAGCATCCTGATATCAAAATCTTGAGTCTTCTACCCATGTAGCGTGCATGTTTTCCCAACTCAGTGCCACTTGAGTAAGTGTAAAAAAGGCAACACATCAAGCTGCAAGATCGATCGAAAGCACCAACCGACCTACAAGGTTTCGACAGTTTCCACTGCTCTTGTTTACAGGATCGCCTTTTGACATGGAATCCAATGGCATCCAGCCTGTCCCTTCAGTGTAAACAGGAACCCCAAGCCATTGTAGATCCCATGATCCCATCAGCATTACACACCCGCGCCTTTGCGACGCGCTCCCTTTCGGCCTGACACACAGCTGTCGCTGATGCACCAAACAGCACGTGTCATGACAGCGATGCTGCCACAGTTGTAAGAATTTCGGGCCTCTAGACCTTGGATTTCATTAAATACTTATTTTGGCATTTATTTGTCATTTTGTTGTCGTTTGCTGTTTTCGCTGTTTGTCATTTTGGTGTCATTTTTTTGTCATTTCCCTTAATTGCTGTTTTGCGGGTTGTCATTTCTTTGTCATTTATTTGTCATTGCTTTTTTGCTTTCTTACCTAGCTGCTTTGTATGGTTCATTCGGGTTGTTACACCGTCCTGTGTGTGCCGTTAGCAATTGTGTGTTTCTGCTTGCAGCAGGACACTGTTTGTGATACATGTTGATGGGACTGAAGCCTTGCTCTGCATCACGGTCCACTGCAAGAGCCCCTGGAGCGATGGCCTTTCGAAGGTTTGGCGTTTCAAGACACATAATAATGTAAAGTAACAAAGCTGGGCCACTTCTGGCCCAAAGTCTGGATCTTGAGCTTAGGAGAGGGGTTTGGGCCAGATCAGGCCTTCCCAACCCAGAATCAGTCTGCTCGAAGGGTCGGGTCGGCTGGCCTGGGGTTGGGGGGTGGGAGGGAGGGGGGGGCAGGAGGGGGAGAGGGGGCAGGAGGGGAGGGGGGGAGGCGGGGGAGGGGAGGGCGAGGGGGGGGGGGGGGCAGGGCATGGTCCACAGGAAAAAGGCAGGATTCCTCCAGGCATCAGTCATTTTCCAGCCATTTTGCAGTCATTTTCCAGTCATTTTCCAGTCATTTTTCAGTCATTTTCCAGTCGTCTTCCAGTCATTTTCCAGTCCTTTTCTTGTCCCTGCCCCAGACCCCTGTCATTTTCTAGGCATTCCCAGTCTCCTCGCCCGCCACACCCATGCCTGCGCGCAGGCGTCACCAAAGTCCTCTCCGAGAATGGCACGTGTCCCTGCGTGGAAGTCGCAGGCCGTGGACATTCGGAATCGCATGGGCTGTGCCATGGATTACAAGCCGTGGACAAGGAAGCAACGACATTTCCTAGGCTTGCACATGCTTCCTCGAACACTCGAAGTTGTGGAGTTGGCCGCCATCGCCCATGTGGGGCCACCTCCGGTGTCAAGATCACAGAAGCAGCTGCCTCATGCGGCCGTGAGGGACGTCTTTGTGGACGTGAGCCAGAACCCCGTCAGACAGCCGTGGACCAACAAATCGAAGATCTCCCCGTGCTTGACCACGACTACAGTGTCCTATTGTTTCGCCAAATTCAGAATGGCAAAAAAATGACAAAACGAATGACAAGAAAACGACAGAGGCAAATGACAAAAAAATGACAAATAAATGACAAAAATAATTCTGGACCCCGAGCCAAGCTCTGCTGCAGAAATTCTTACAATGCCACAGCGATCCCTGAACCTGGCTTCCCGGCGTCCTCCAAACGAAAAACTCATTGGACTGCTGGAACCTTGAACCTCTAGCCGCAATCCTTGCCATCTTTGGGTACTAAGTTCCGGGCAGCTGTCGCAGCTGTGCGGGCTTTCAGCTGGGCCATCGGATCCTTGGCCTCAGCGAATCAGTCCAACATAGTCCAACCGGCCACGTCCATGTACAAAAGTCGAGTTGTTTTGCAATCCAAACAAGGCTTCGACTACTAACCAGTCGAGTTTAGAGGTCCGTTGACAAGTCACAAGCATCACGCCACACGCACAAACAGCAAATCACAAAGCTTGAGGCCTGAAAAAAGCCAGGGCCCTAGAATGTAAGGATGAGCGCCTGCTCATTAACCCAGGTAGCCTGCCTGGAGGCCGAATGGGTTCTGACTTCTGAAAGGAAGGTCTCGGTCTAAAAGCAAGGAGGCACAAAGGAAGCAGCCCTGAAGTAAACGGAAATGCCACGCACGTTTTCATGAGGGCTCGCAGATGCCATGGCCAAGCATAAGAGCAGCTTTCTTGCCAACCGGCTCCGTAAACACGGTGCGGAACCACCCGTCGCAGTTGCGAGCGACCTTTCAGGCGAAGGATGCTACTGCAAATCTCCGACGAAGCATAGAAAATCCCCGGAAGGGGTTAAGGTTGAGGTTCGAGCAAAGGGATTTGCAACGTTTGTGTCGGTCTTTTCGAAGTTTTGCCACACCTCCTCCGGCGCCACGAGGCAGAGCGTCGCGTCCGGAAAGGATCGGGCCAGGCACCTGGTGATCAGCGTAGCAGCCTCCACTTGGCACTTCAAGTTCTTGCCCCAAGGAAGGTTCGAAGCGACCAAGAGCCCCCTGCCCGTGCTGCTGACTGCAGCAGTTGCGGGTATGGGCCACGGCTCCGTGGCATCCCACTCCCTAACCCCGATGCCTGGGACGGGCTTCTCCGAAGGCTCCGTAAGCTCAAAGGTCTGCTTAGGGAAGGCGGCCTCGAGGTTGATGCGCGCCCGCCTCGCCAGCGTCGGGTTCACGTCCCCGGCGAAGATCGGCCAGTCTTTCTGGCAGTACTTCGCCGCAGCCGCCAGGGTCCCCGTGCCGCAGGTGGCGTCCAAGAAGGCCCTGGGCGCTTCGGACCAAAGGCGCTGGTGCAGCCGCAAGCCGAGGCCGAGCATTGCCAGGGCCGCCAAGGGCTCCAGCGCGGCGCTGTAGTCCGGGAAGGGCCGAGCCCTCCAGCTCGTGCCGAACTCCGTGGGCGAGAACGCATCGAAACCCAAATCATCCTGGGCCAACAGAAACAAATCTTCCCTTCCCACGATCTGCACCGTGACCACGCGCGCAGTGTCAGCCGCGTCCTCCGGACAACCTGTTTCACGCAAGGGCCCCGCAATTGCTCTTCCTAGCTGGGCGGACATGAAGCCGCAGGACTGTGCGTATGGAGCCAAGGACTCGTAGCGTGGCTGATACGGACCCTCATGTTCCAAGCTCCAGCCACTAGGGAAATCGAGTTTCATTTTACCAGCTTCGGCCACCAGATCATTCTGAGAGCCCGGAGTAGTAAGCAACCGCAAGCATCGCCTTAACCCGGCCACGTGCCACACGTTGTCCGTCTTGAATGTGCCCTCGCGCAGTAGAGGGGGCTCGGGACTGTTGGATTTGCTCCTCGCTGGATGAGCTCGGGACAGAGCGGCATCCTTGACGCGCAAGCGGAACAAGCCCTGGCCGACCTCTTCCAATTGAGCTGCGTCGCACCAAGCTTCACGAAGGTCCAGTGCCAGCACTCGCTCCCAGCGATCACAAGCACACATGAGTAATAGCGGCTCCTCAAGTGAGAAGTAGGAGGCTGCATCCTTCATGGCTTGTTTGCGTGCGGCTGATGCCAACGCCGTGGCCTCGTGGACGGCCGTCGGCACCCGCTGTCTTTTTCCCGGCTTGGGTGGTGTTTTGGGCACCCAGGTCTTTACACACTGCAACGCGAAGGAACCACCAATTTGGCAAATACGAAACTCACCAAGCCGCTCAAGCTGGACCACACCTGGGCACGAAAAAACAGACCCAGCCCGTCGTTGGAAACCAACCCCATAGGCAATAATCTTCCCAATCCACGAAATCCTGAATCACCCGCGTCCTCCAAACTTGGATTGCTTAGACGAGTCGGTCGGCGAGTCTGCACCGGTGCCGTGATACCCATCCTGCGAAGTCTGCACATGGCTGTGGTTCAAAGCCTCAAACTCGCACGGGGCCATGGAGACTCACTGAGACCTGTCTTCATGCTTCGTACCTGGGAATCTGGTAGAGTTCATGTACCCTGTGCTCACAACCCCGCCGTGATTCATTGGTTGGGAGCTGATGGCCATGTGCCGTGGCTCAGCCTTATGTTCACGAAGGCAAGCTTCACAGATTTTTCTTAAGGTTTGATTGGATCTCATTTGCTCTACGTTGCCCGTGACTTTTGAGGGTTGTTGCGCCAGTCTTCGCCCCCTCTGTATTGGCAAAGCCGAAGGTCGACCTGTGGCGGAATGCCCTCGATGTTGCTAAGGGTATGAAACTTGATACATATAAAACTTTCCTAGCTTCTCTGTTGGCCGTGCTGTGGTGTGACGGCTGCGTGGACGCTGCATACACCTTCGCAACGTCGAAGTCCCAATGAAAGCTAAAAGATGCACAAGCAACAGTCAAATCTGCGAGCGAAAAATGCAAGTGCACCTGCGTGGGAAGGCCACGGTGATGCACCAGTTCAGGCCACAGCGCTGCCAACCATGGTTCACATAGTATGGGCCCAACGGCCTAGGCCAGGAAACGTTGATCAAGTCCTATCTTATCCACTGCTTGCGTATTGACTTGCAAGGAATCGCTGCAACATGCGAACCCAGCATCATGTCCATGCGCAGCGACCAAATCGGCAGGACCGGGGTGCAAGGCCGCCTGCAAGAAGTTGCGTAGATCACTCACACACATGTGTACTGTACAACCACCACAAAATGTTCAAGACTTCCCTAGCAAACGAGTTGTGCACCCAGTACCGTGAGTCCATCTGTGCAGCCAATGCCTGCACGTGTAGGTCGCACGAGGCAGCCACCCATGACCTTCAAACGGCTAGACATGACAATGGCAACTCCATCAGTTCACACCAACCAGGACCTTTGCCAAGTAGCACGATGTTTGGCCCGGGTCCATTGGATTTGTTCTCACCGCCCGTGACTGCCAAGCTGTCAAAGTCGCATTCGCATTGGATGGCTGTGACCTGGACACCCATTTCAACACAATGCTGGGTGGTACAGTTCTCTTTTCCTATGTTACATGCCCTCCGATGGGATTGTGCCGACTGCGCCTCCCCGGCATCATCGAACAACAACGTCGTACAGCGAACGACGTAGCAGTGTCGAAGCCTGACCGCCTCCCCAGTGCAGAATCGCCTCGGTTCTCTCCAACCCGATATTGCGCACACTACCACGTCCGGCAAACCCTGTATCCACCGATGTCCAATGGCCGACCAAGTGACGGTTCTGAATCGCCAGCCTGCTGCAAGACACAAGCTTGCATCAACTTGTGCCACATCAGCAGCAAACACGGCGGCAGCATCATCAAACACATTAAGTTTAAGAACATCGACTAGCCGATGGCATCAGATCGACCCAGACTTCTTGCAGCACGGACGGTCAAGAAAAAGAACACGTGTAAATCCACTGTTTTTCTGGGAAGCAAACGTTTTCCAATCGCTGTCCGCCATATCTAATGTCCCACACTCGGACACACCATGTATTAGTTTTTTTTTTCCACGCACACTTTTTGCGACCAGTACGAGCGCGATCCCTGTGCACCCGCAATCTAGGTGGTGGCGTCAGCCTAGGTCCGCAACGGGAGCCGGCTGAGGGCAGAGCGTGCAGCCAGCTTTCGTCCTGCAGGACCTCATGCTCAGCCGGCTTGCCGGCAGCAGAGGGCGTACGGGCCGCAAAATGATTGTTCGGTTCGAGAAGAAAATCAACGATCCACCGAGTGCAGCAGTTCAGCATCAGCAAACTGCGGCGCTCGTTGTAGGCGCCTAAGCGTTAAAACAAGGTGTCGCGCAGAGAGCGCGTTGAGTTTCAGACAGCGGACACGCGAATGGCCTGCAGAGACGTGCCACGAGGAGCACGGTGCTGCCCTGGAATTCGAGAGAATGGCAGCGGAGGATATCCTTGCGAGGCAACGTGTCACAAAACACGCCAGGGGTTAGCAACGACCCCGGTGCCCGACGCGCGCCGGATAGAGATCGTGTGCAACGGCTTGCCTCTTTGCCATGGGGCTTAGCTGGCAGTTGACACCACCTGCGTCAGCCCAGTCACTCGCTCTGGCGAGCCGCGGCCAGTAAGCGACGCGACACATACCCCGAGCTTGCGCGCTCGCCGCGCTGCCAGCTCATGGTGTTCGCTGTCGAGGCTAGCGGCCGCTGGGGCCCCAAGCCCGCGACTTTCCTCAGGCTCCTCGCACGGGCGCGAGCTGGGTGCGCACGCTGCCGTTCGGTCGGCTTTGCGTGCGGCCTATGTGTCTCCATGGGGCAGCATCATCGCCGTCGCAGCGCAGCGGGCCCTCGCCGGCTCCTTGCTGGAGCTTCCTCTCGACACCGTCGCTGTCCATTATGTGGCAGCCACCCGTGAAACCGCCAGACGCTTTAGGCCTGCTGGCACGAAAACAATGATTCGCAATATTCGTTTCTCATTCTCGCTTATTCGGACAACTCACCTGGTCCAGCAGATGTGGCCGCTCAATGCATCAGGCAAGTGATCTTATGTGCATCTCGACCATACATTGTTGTTCAAGGCCGAGCTTCCTTAGCCTTGTGCTGACTTGCGATCTGGGTGACGGCATCGCCGATTTTACCCGTGCCCTTCGTGTTGCCTTTTTTGCTCTATGCTAACGATCCTATTTTATCGACAAAGGACGCTGGTTGCTTCAAACAGCTCTAAGTACGATTCGGGTTCAAGGGTTGTCTTAGGGGTTTCCCGACAATTCAGCCGTCACGGCTGTCGGTTCGAAGTCGACTGATTTTTCGATTCGTGTTTTATTGTAGGTTGACAATTTCGTTCTGGACAGGATTACAAACGCTCCTCCTTGATTTCCTGTCCTTCCCACCACTCCTTTCGCAGAGCGGAAGCAGGCGAGGGTGTAGGAAGAGGGGAGGGAGCGGAGGGGGTGCGAGTGGGGAGTGGAGGGCCGGGACCCCACTTCCTTTTTCACCCCGCAGCTTGCGCGGGGCAGGAGACAGAAAATGCTACGGAGACGGAGCAGGCGGGGTGGAGACGGCAGAGCGGCGGCATGTGGAAACTTGGCGCATGCTACCAAAGTACCGCGGGGATATCCCGCCCTGGGCGCACCGACGCGTGCCATCGAGGTAGGCAGAGCCGCTGCAGTAACTCCCGACTCGAAATGTGCTCGGCTCCGTCTTGGCGTGTGCACGGCATATGAAATCACAGGCTACGCGCCCTGCTTCCCAACCCCTCGAGAGCCGCCACACGCGGCTACACGCTGTAGTGTGGCAGTGCTTGCACAACGTTTAGGGTGAGCCTGATGGCCTGCTCGCCGCCGCCTAGCTGGACTCGAGCTCCCAGTGTCACGCGGTTCCTGGCCAAGCGTGAAGCTGGGCCCGTGTCGCTTGCTCCTTGCTTGCGCACTGACATGCAGCTGCAGCTGGCACCCGCGCTGCCTACGCAGGATGGGAGGGTCGACTTGGAACGCTATCCACGACGGCCAGCGACCTGCATGCGATTGGCGAGCGGTGCCGTCGTGGGAAAATGGAACTCCCAATGAGTTGCTATATATGTTATATTCCGGTTTCCCATCACGATTATTGTCGCGATGGCAATGCGTGGAGCGACTTGCGTTCCAGCCTCACGGCAAATGCACTCGTTTGGTTTTAACCGTATCCGGCGAATTGAAAATACTTTCGACTTTGCGCCAGTCAATTACACAATGCGAAAAATGCTACAGCACCATGTCAGTGTTGCCCGTGTGGGTCCCGTGAATGAAGCCTAATACACGCACTGCGCGACTGCCCCATGGTTCGCCACTGGAAGAAAAAGCGAGGGTTCATTGACATCGACCTGTTTTTTGATGACATGTTTCTGAGCTTGTTGTTCGCCCCTATGGTGGCTCTAGTGGCATGCAGAACACCCGCGCCTTAATCTCTGCGCACATATTTTTCTTGGCCAACATCTGCCGAGCTCATAGATCGTTGCTAAAACCCTGCAGTGGCACGTCACGACGCATTGGAGCTGAGTTGTATATATTTTGCACATGTGTACATTTTTGTTGAGCTTTGAGTTTCAGAGTCATATTTTTTAGGTACTGACCGCTGGACGGTTGTTTCAGGACAAGTGCTGCTAGAGGGATTTCCGCCGCGCATGTTGGCCGCCGAAAACATTCGTGATCGGCAGGGAAATCTGCGCGGGATGTGGACATGTATGACACCTCGGACAGGGTCTCCCAGTGGCAATGTAGCCAGTCTGTGCAGCGCGCTTTGTTTCACAGCGCTGCGCCTGCCGCCTGCGATGCTACCCCGATCCCCAGATCGGCCTCCACGTCGGCATCGCTTGGGAGTCATCGCCATTGGAAACTACGTAGCAGGATGAGCCGGAACTATTTGTTCGGCACGTCGGCGTGACGGCGATCACCACTTGCGCACGCAGCTGAGTCCTTCGCCGCTCTGGCACAGCACGTGGCGAAGGCCATGTCTAGCCTGATACATCAGCAGGCTGAAAGTTTTGTCGCACTAGGATCTCTTTGCTTGGCGGAGGACTCGGAGTACGAAGACGTGCATTTTACGTGGCCTGGCTAGCGGAGGAATTTCCATGCCAAAATAAACATACACTGTTTTTTTGTTCCGACGGAGGAATTAGTGACGTCCTTGCCTAACATCGCGACTGTTTTGTCGCACTAAGATGTCTTTGCTTGGCGGGGAATACGAAGAAGTGCAGTTTACGTGGCCTGGCTAGCGGAGGAATTTCCATGCCAAAATAAACATACACTGTTTTTTGTTCCGACGGGGGAATTAGTGACGTCCTTGCCTGACATCGCGACTTCGTGAAGGAGTCTATGGGGGAAAGGGGCTTGCAAGTATGTGTTAGCAGACGTACCGGATGCGACGAACTTTCGTCCTGGGCTCGCTTCACTCCCGATTGTTTGCACCGCGCCCGACAGCGCATGACGGTGCGGTGTGGCACGGTGCGAGCATGGTCGCCAAAGCATCGCGGAACAACTGTTGCGAACCGGCGCTCCAGGCGACCCCGCTCGCGAGGAGTGTGGACATGCGAGAACCATCTCGCTGAATTCTGCAAACGATCGGCCAGCCGCCGCTCGCGTCGTACCAAAGCAACGGACAAACTTGGAGACACATCCTGGCGAAGTCGATGATTTAGTCCGCATTTCGTCGTTCGTTTGATGCCTTTAGCAGCCGTGGTGGTGAAGTAGGCACGTTCGCGATCGTTGTCCAAGGGGCGCTGAAAACAAATCGATAAACATCAATGGCGACGACGGTTTCCCGCCGCAGCATGCTTCTCGAAAGATACGAACAGCTCATGTTGCGTGTACCGTGCTGCCGGGTGCAGATGGCACGTGAGCTGGCGTGGCTTCATCGCACACACGCCAGCGATTCTGGTGTGTCGACAACTACCCGAAGCGACCTCTCCTTAATGTCCTCCCTACATGCGGTAGTGTGCACAAGTGCGCGTAATGACATGTGGCGAGCATGCTTCGTCGAGTGCAATTGCACGTTGCTCGAACATCTACATTTTCGCGCCCGCCCACTCCGCCCAAATCGGTGGGGTGGAAGGTGGCTGCTTGCAGCAGGCATAGGGATTCAACCTGCCGCCTTTCTTATGCATGGCTGGTCGATCATGTCCAGAAGAGTGCCGGCTTGCCGCTGAGTAGAAAGACTTCGCGGCGCTCGAATCGCCGCAGATGTCTTTCGGCATGGCACGAAGAGCGTGAAAAAAAAACACGGTGGACAACCAGCACAAAATGCTTGAAAAGGCAGGGATTCCCTGCCAACTGCTGACAACCACGACGTCTGCCCGATGCTTGTTGAGACTCTGCAACAGAAATACATGCAAAGGTGAACATTCAAGCCACCTTCACTAAAACATCATCAAGGCCTTGCTTGCGTCCACGAGCAGATCCATTCCGGCAGGCGCGGTGCCAAGCATTTCGGACGCGATGGGTGCCAGACTCCAGGCTCCGGGTCAAAACGATTCCAAGTGGTTTATGGTTTGTATTCTGACTGCAACTGAAGAGTCTGGACAGGGGATGCATGGCCTCTGCACACGAAGTCGAAAAGTCCCGCTTCTCGACAAACAGATGCTTGCCTGAGCTAGTTCTAAGAGCTCCACGTGGGTGGTATGCTGCTTCTGCAACTTACGCATGCACGAACAAACGGCGCGATGCTGAATGGGATCCTGCGTGAGGGCGCTGATGCAGCGCTTGGACCTTCAAGCCATTGGTCCTGGATTTGAATCCGTGCTGGAGCGTTGCAAGATCGATCACGGTAAGGCTGAAAACTCCCATCCGAATACCGGATATCCAGTGGATATGCAAAGGCATGCGGCAGACCACCATGTGGTTACGACTTTGATTACACCCTGAGTTCTGGTTCCCTCAGAAATGCTCCAATGCGTCCTCACTGCCAGGCCAGTTCACGATTTCCAACGTCCTGACTCTTGCATCTTGGCCAAAGCTGCAGCAGCACTGTTTACATAAAAGCTTGCCGCAAGGCAATTGCTTAACAGCGCGGGAAATGGCAAATCTACCTATAACAACTTACAACAACGACATTTCGCAAAAAGCCTTCGCAATCGAGCCACAATGGTTGTAGTATGCCCAGTAATCGCGGCACGACGACATCGCTGTCCATGGTTCTACCAATGTTGACCCCTGCTGGTGTGATGCGAACCTTGATGGCGTGATGCGAGAGGACTCGTTCGAACAGCTGATGTCGACACATCTTCACGGCTCAGCCCGGGAACGTGCATGACGCGTTTTGTCTCTGGCTATGGCTACCAAGCTTGATCCACCATGGTGCTGATGCAAGATGCGCCAGGAATTCCGAATCCCCGACTGGAAGCCTGTGACTCATCCCTTCCAGTGCAAGTGAGCCGGTGCCTTGCGCAAACAAGGCCACCTGTTGTCCGAGCACCTTGCATCAGCACCAGCTTCCCCGTCCTCCTTCGGCATAATGCCTGCAACATCAGCCATGTTTTGCAAAACGACTGCCCAGCCAACTGAGTGAAAGCTCGTCGCATGAACTCGACGCCTCTTTTCTGAAGGGACACCACAGATGCAGCTAGTTCGGTCCGTTCTGCTGGCTAAATGGGCTGCGGTGGCCTTACGGTAGCTGGAACCGTTTTGCTCACACTGTCTGTGCTGATGCTACCTCACGTCACCACGCCTGTGCTAGGATGATCAAGCAGATTCCATGTTCATGTCGCTCAAGTTCCTCATAAGCGTCCTGTGCTACTTGGGATATTGTCAATGCAAACCAGTAGCTAGCTGTGTGCTGCGCTGAAACCCGCTGGCATTTCACTTAACTCTTGAGCCGGACCAGGCACGTTGCGCGACTTCGGAAAAACCGTGCGAGCCTAAAAATTCAGTCAATCAAAGCACGAGCACCTGTCGGTCAGCCGAAAACAAGCATGCCGCTGGGCTTTAGTACAGATATCCAAACCTGCAGGCGTTGAACACTAAGCCTCGGACAAACGTTCGAGGAAGCGAATTTTGCCACGCTGCATGCAAAGTGCAGAGGCAGGAAAAATAAAGGAAATCATGCAGGTGCCAGCCGCATCAGTTCCAAGAGTTGTTTGCTAGTGGTGCTGGTGGGCTGGGGGAAAGGTAGCTGGTAGCAATCCTGACGCTGATGGTGCTGCCGGTAATGCTGGTGGTTGTTATGGGGTGATGCTGGTGGTGATCATCTTTTGCACTCGTGGACCAGTGGTGTGCTGACCACCATTGGCATCCGTTGCCAAGCACCAATGTTGCTATAAGGATCGGTATTGCCTTGCAGGTTTCGGATGTTTGTTGGGGGGCATGGGCACAAGGCTTTGCCTACACTGGTGTTTCCCAACCGCTCTTGACATGGTTTGTTGTTGCTTCCGGACACAACATGACAACATGGCGAAACTCTCCCCGGAAATTGGACTAGCTGGCACCTCGCCAAGCTGCGTTGGAGTTGGTTCAACCAAGGCCACGCACATTCCCCCCTCCGCACACAAACATGGCGGAAAACGTCTGGATTGTACCACCAACTTTGCTGACAAGCAAACCTGTCTGCCAACCAAACACAAAAACAATCGATGTTCTAGCTGCTCTAGCTTGATAAATAACGCAAGGAAGCGAAAGAACAATGATTCGGCATATCTTGCAGCAAAGCAAAAGGACAAACTGTACACCCGCACATGGTTTCGCTTAAGAGCAAGTCCAATCAATTAACCAAACATATCTCGCACGATTGAAGCTGCCGGTGAAGTTGCACACACCTTTTTTTTGCAGCACAAAATAAACCACCACATGCACGGCTGCTTCTGCTTTTGTTCGTCCCCGAAATGTTCTTTTTGCCCTTCTTTTGAGCTGTAGGTTTAAAACATCTTGTTTTGAGCCTAAAATGCGTTTCATAATGAAAGAAAAAAAGGAACATGCTTTGCTCAATGTGTCGGATCAGCAAATCGTGTTGGTTGACCTCGGATCTTTTGCAATTCGAAAACTGTGACAAAGCAGAAAACTTCAGAAACCAGCACCAACTGACTTGTTGGCAGGAAACAATCCAAAGTAACGTTTCGTCCAATGCAGACTCACAGCTGAGAAACAACAACCGGTGCAAAATCATTTTGAAAGACCATCCAAAAATCCAGCAAAACCCATCTACCTTGCAGACCGGAGTCAACCGTATCGCAGTTTCTGGGAACAATCCGTGCTGCAGACGAAAACCAAACATGCAGGATTGGCGCAAATTCAAAGAAGATTGGATTCGAGCCATAACATCTTGCACGTCGCAGTTTCTGCCAAGACTTGTTTTTGTCTGACGGCTTTATGGAGAGAGTCGTCCAAGATGGATGGATTCCGAAGCAAGCAGCCGTTCCAGTCTCGTCAGAAAATCAACCGGTGTGAGCTGGATCGTTAGAATGCAGCAGACGCATAATCCAAAAATCCAAGTGCAGGGACTGCTGAAATTAAATTGCTGAAGGGCAGCCAGTGACGCATCGCGCCCATGGAGCAGAGGATTTGCTGGCAGGCACACATAAAGTGCAATGCGGCATTTCCAACTTGCGATAGAAGTCATTGCAATCAAGAGTCAAAAGCAGGTTCGTCCGCCCATTGGTTGTGTGCTCCTGCAACGTGAGACACCTGTGGCAGAATGACTACGAGGCTATCGGCTGCCCTGGGCAGTGTTGGTCAGCTTGATCTCAGGGCAAGTGGGATCCGAGATGCGGACCCAAGTAGGTTCCAAGAACTTGAACTGTGGAGGAAGGTGGGCTTTGCAGTGCACTGGTCGACTGTCGATCTCGATGATGCGGGGCTTGAGTAGTAATTTATGAGCCTGCAGACGACAGCTCTGGAGCTACATGGGCTTGCAAAACCTTGCTGATGTCTGTCATCCACATGAGTGGGCCTATACAGGCTTCTAGGTCTTTCCTGGGGACCTGCTTGCTGCCAATAATTCCTTGAGCTGAGCACAAAGCTTGGCTCAACTTGGCTCGTTTGGTCTTGCAAAGCTCGACCGTTTCCAGGCGAAATTAAAGTGCCAACCGCACCAAACTGTCCTTTACTGAGGCTTTTGTTCCAGCTAATCGGAGCGCAAGTGATCGAACTTGGGGTTCAACCCTAAGTTCTTGTGTCATGTTCTTCGCCTCCTCTAGGCCCTCCTCTGTGTTCGAACCCAGTGTTCCAGAACACTGCAAAAACCTATGCTCCAGGTTCACCGCATCAATAATGAAAGATCTTTGCGGAGAACAGCGCAGAACTGCGAATGCGAAGTACGATCAGTTTCCAAGGGCAGCGTTGGACTCTGAGGGACTTCAAACAAAAGTCAGGTAATTGAAACCGCCTCAGCAAACCTTCAACTCCAAGTCCAAACCATGCAAAGCGGAAAAATCAACAAAAAACAAAGGCCAAACGATCTCTACTGACTAAGTCTGCAAGTCGCCGTTTCACCTGACATAAGTTTGTTTTGTTCTTGTGGTTCTTGCAGTATTAAACCTGCTTGTGTAGGCTGAACATTGTCCTGCAAACTCTTGCACCAGTAAGAAGTGCTCTTTGGAACTAAAGTTTGAAAAGGACCCAGATTAGAACTCCCGGTTTGCAACCCAACCAGGCTCGAAACTCAGTTTTTTGGTGGTGGTTTCAAGAAAAAAAATCTTGTACACAAACCAGCTCTCATTTCCGCTCCAGTGCGCTACCTTTGTTTGCGGAGGAACTTTCGAGTTGTCGGAATCGGAACGCGGATTAGATATGCCGTCCAGTCTCAGGTTTTTAGCAAGATGCAGCTGCTCAAAAATGTAGCATCCAGTTGCCCAGTTATAACTTGTCTTGAATGCATCTTCGGTTCAAAAAATCAAGTTCTGGCATGTGTTCTTGCAGGATTTGTGAATGTGAGCACTTGTGCATGTCTGTGTGTGTGAAACATGCTGCAAAACTCGAGTTTGTCACACCATGGCTGAAGAGAACAGAATCTGCATTGAGGATACAAGAGGAGACCTTGTTCCGAGCGGTGGATTTTGACTTTTGTGGGCTTCTTTGAAGTCGAGACCCGCTGAGAGCATGAAGGCAGTCCGGACATCTGTTGACCGTTCTAGCACACCCGCCAGCTTCCAACTCCAGCACACCTTGCAAAGTCAAAGGAAGCTGGAACAACAGGGCCCCCATGTGTGATGGCGCAGCTCTGCAGCCATGCAGGACATCATGCAAGCCTGCCTCAAATGGGCATCCCAGCGCGACCTGTCCAAACGAGTCTTTGCACACCTCACAGCAAGCCAGATCATCACGCCATCCCTGAAGACGACCAACTCGAACTCATTCGGACAGCCTGCAAGGTCACAGAATGGGACAACAACTCCATGACGCAAGCCGCCGAAGGACAGCCATCTCGCCTTTACTGTATCTTATGCAAGCCTTTGCAGATCTTCTCAACGACCAGACGAAGATCTTCCAGCCATGCTACGCGTAGGATGCAACAGGAGTCTTTGATTCCATTGCGCCAGACTCGGATGCAGAAGCTTAGCAGAAGAAGAAGGCGCAGGATGGATACAGTCCGTGCCAGGAGGCTTCGAGGAACAAACAACTTTGGCCCATTACCGTCGGCAAGCTCAGCCTTGTAAAAGCGGAGAATAGAGACTCTCGACCAGTCTTGGACAGCACGATCTGCCAGATCAACCCCCTATGTCGCATCTCCGAAGCGGTAGCCAAGAGGCATGGCCGCAAAACATGCCAAGCTGCTTCCAAGGCTGCGAGACCAGGGTTGGTACAGAGCCACGTGGGTAAAGGAGCTATCCAATCTGAATCTGGCTCCGGGCGCCCACGGCTGTGGGCCCTTTGCTCAACCAGCCGATCAAAAATGAAGCCTTCGTAGTGTGGATCAACGCATCCTCAAGGACCTCCCTTTCTTCGGAGGTCATTTCACCGGCCACACAGCGAAATCAACCTTGCTTCCTTGGCTGGCCAAATGGGGCGGCTCTGAGGATGATAGGGCTATTCTTGGGCATCACATGCCAAAGAGCAAGAGTGTAGCCACGTACAGCAGGGATCTTCAGGCTGGTCCTTTGAGAGTGCTGTGGTCTCTTCTATGTGACGTTCGGTCTGGCGCTTTCCTTCCAGATTGTACACGCTCTGGCCGCTTTGTCCGCCAGGCTGAGAATTCGGGAATGGAGCCGGCTCTCGATGATCTTGCTGGTCTCCAAGAAGGGGCCCTCAGCCCTGACCTCGGCCTCATCCTGGGTGGCTGACACTGCTGCTGCGGCCGGGACTCTGATGCAGGGTCCAGTCATGAAGGCTTCTTGTCGCGACGGCACAGTGCTCCTTGCCGGTGGACGAATTGCAGTTGGGCAAGGCGCAGAGATTTCTTTGTAGCGCACTTTGCCCTTGGCCTTCAACACCCAGTTAGAAGGCTATGAGTCAGACTTGGAGGGGCTATCTGGCTTTTGAAGGCCTTTGCTGCTGCCTTTGCCCTTGCCATCTTTTTTCGGGGTCGGCGTGTTGAGGCGGATCCTTTTGCTCCGTGGGACGGCGGTTAGGGCCTGGCAGTGTCGGCGGCGGCCGTGGTCTTGGCTGAAGCAAATTGGCGAGGTCACTCCGAATGCTTGTGACTTCGTACAAGGCTTCGTCGAGGCTCCAGCCAGATGCAGCAAGGCTGGAGATGGTGTTCCAGATCTTGCGATCAGCTGCCAAGAGCTCTTGCGTTGTTGGGCCCCTGAGAGAGGAGTCGGCTAGATCTGGCAAGGCTAAGTGCTCGACTCGCTTGTCGAAGGCTTTGAGGTTATTAAGATGGGCTGCCCCACAAAGTGCCCAAGCATTCCGAAACACCGTTTGGATACGCTGTAACGACACATATAGCTGAGGCGAGGAGCTGGGCCTCCGTCCTCATAGGCTTAGATGATTTGGCCTCCATAATTTCGGAATACTGTTTGGAGCTCAGGCGCAGCTGCCATGGGATCCACTTGAGCTTCTCTCCTGGCTGGAGGCTGTGTTGCACAAGGCTAAGAAGGCGGATTGATGGCATCGTATCGTCCGTCCAGGAGCTCTCCTGGGTAGTTGGCTTTAAAGGTCGTGACTAAATCCTGCACGACCTCGGACCTAAGCTTAGGTGGCAAATGCTCCATCCAGGAGGATGGTGAGGCCGTAGGGGCTAAGGCTGCTGGGAGGGATGGTATCGCAGATGAAGGCTGAGGTCCCTCCTGTGCTTTGTGCGCTGAGCGCAAGGCTTTCCTGGCTCGGGCCGCCTGGACAGAGTGTAGTGCGTCTGAGACCCCCATATCGCTGAGGTCCGACTCAGAGAGGCTCTGCAAAAAGGTGTCAAAGCTATTGAGGTCCGGGTAGGCAAATGCCAGGTCCTCAACTGTCTCGAGCCCCTTGAGGGCGAGGCCGTTGCAGACTATACTTCGTGCACCCCCTGCGCCTGCAGGAAGGTTGCGAGCTCCGATTGCTCAAATAGCGCCATACTTGTTGGCCGACTAGTTTCGACTGGGGAGGTAAGCCTAAACGGCTGCGGTAGGAATGGCATGGCAAAAGATCAGGCTGACCCGGCAAGTGCACAACGCCACTCCCGCGTTTTTCTTAAGGCAATGCGTCTAGCAGGCGTCGGCAAGCCGCTCTGCGGCAGAAAAAAGCTGTGTCAGGGCATGTAGGGCAAAAGGCGGCCGTGGATCGGGGTGTCCCGCAGGCCGCTTTGTCTGCTCCCCACGGCTGTGCGTGCACTGATCCCCATGGTCCATTCTGGAAGAGAGCTATGTCCTCCAATGTAGGCTGGGTGGCATGCTCCTCCGAGTCGGATGAATCGGCTTGTGTGACCGCAAAGCTCTCCACTAGCAAGGCTTCGATGTCGTCTGCGGGTATGGTCGGAGGAAGGCTGCTGGCTTCGGGTGGCTCATGCTCGGATGGAGCAGTGCTCGGTACCAGCTGAAGCTGAGTATCGGCCCTGTTCGCTGTGGCTGGTTGGGTGTCGAAGGTGACCTGCTCCAGTTCGGCTTCGCGTGAGTAGATAAATCTGTCGAGGCCCTTTCCGAGGGCAGAGAGCTGGAAGGATTTGGGTGGTGAGGACGAGCTAACTGAAAAAGGCGGCTCCACTGTCGGGTGCTGTCCTCCCCTGGCAATTGGGCGCGAGGGCCTCCAACCTAAGGCACATGCTTGGGTGATTTCGGTTTGAAGGGCTAAGGCTCCGAGAGTATCGTCTCTCCCGTAAAGCTGTACGCTAGGGCTAGGGTTTTTGTGGTGGCCTTGTTGTTGGCGTATTTTATCGGCGGCCTGAATCTGTGCACCGGCGCTGAGCAGGCAAACCTTGAGGCTGTGCAAGGTGAAGGCGGAGGCTTCTTCTGGTGTGAGCAGCTCCGGGGAGTTGCCCTCAAGATGTTTGCGGCACATGAAGAAACGCAGGCACCCTAGCGCTTGGCTGTACGACATAGGCTGGTGGTAGGCGGCCGCTGGCTTGCTTGGGAAACCCCGCAGGTTGTGCAGGGTGGGCAGTATGAAGTCGGGGCAAATTGTGCGTGCAGTAGATCTCCTCAGTACGCTCCCATACCGTCTGGACGGCTCTGAGGAAGGGCAGCACCCAAAGGCCCGCCGGGTCCCGGCCGGAGATGCCGTGGAGACGAACTGCGAATGGCTGACCGCGCTTGGTTGTCTTCGTATGCCAGCAAACCGCTCTGAGGCTATGTCCTGTGAGGGAGAGGCTCTTAAGGCTGATGCGCTGAAGATCCCCAAATCGCAATCCTCCGTGCAAGGCTAGCAAGAATCCCCCTAGCAGAAGGCAAAGTTCTATTGGACACTCCGGCTGGCATATGCCTGAGCAGTAAAGGACCTGATGAGGCGGTCTGACAACACAGCTGCTAGCTGGGCAAGGCCGGCTGTTTTGGCGGCCATGAGAGGGCTTTGATCATCGGCTTGGGGCCGGTTCGGCACACTTCTCTGTCTTCTTCGAGGCTGGAGTGACATGCCCATAGCAGGTCACCAAGGCTAGCTACGGAGACCGAGCTGACTTCCAGGCTATTGAGGATGAGGTACTCGATGAACTGTCTGCAGGCAGACAAGTAGGTTTCAAGCGGGCATAATGCTTTGGGCGAGTAGCTGCTGAGAATACTTGGCCTCCTGAAGGCTACGGTACAAAGCTGCCGAGCCCCTTAGGAGCCCACAGCAGCTCCTTCCACTGTTCCAGGGCTTTAGCTTTCCTGGAAGCCTCTGGCCTTTCCTGGCAACCCTGCCGCCAAGGCGCAAGGGCGGGACCATGTCCGGCAAGCGAGTATGCCGGACCGAGTTCGGGGCTGAGAGGGCAGGTCCTGAACATGGAATCTAGGACCGAGAACCTGTTCCCGACCTGGCGGTGGGCGTGGAGGTGGCACGTAACGAAGGCTTCTCGGGGCTGGCCGCGCTAAAGGCTGACAGACCGGATGACTGAGTCCCAGAAGGCTGGCCCTCCAGCTGGGTCGAGGTGCAGGGAGCGAGGTCTGATAAGGCTGTGGACTGAAAAAGGCGGGGCCGGGCGCACTGCCGGTGGCAAGGCTGGGGGGGGCAAGCCCGGCCGCGTCTTGGGCACCGACTGCAGGGGGAGGAGAACGTGCTCTTCTATTCCTGGCGGGATAGGGTTCACTGTTGAAAGAAGAGTCTTTCCGAAAGCGGCGGACCACTGTGACACATGGCTCTCTCGGCTGGGGCTCCTGCTGCGATCTGGTTGGGAGGCTGTAGGCTGATCTTCGTCCGGGTGAAGAAACCCCGAGAGCACCCACAGTGGCGCGGGTAGGGACCTTCCTGTTCGCTGAGCATCGCTGTTGACCGGACTCCATGATTCTAGGTTGCTATAAGGTCGTCCGGCTCTGTGTCTGGATCCATGATCGGCTGACGGCATGCAAAAAGAGGCAAGACATTGCGCAACGCGTGCAGAAGCTGAGGTCGCCGCTGAAAGGCAAGGTTGGTCCTGCAGATTAGGGCTTGAAGGAGCACGGCACTCTCGATGTAACAAGACCGGCGGAGCCCCGAAGGCATGCACTCTTTTTTGTGGGCCGATGGCGGCTGTCGTGCGGCGCTAAAACTGCCGTGTGCCTGCGCATAGAACGTGACTGAAGGCTAACTGGTAGAGAAATGTTTGTCTCCAAAGTGTAGGCTGCCGTGCAATGCGAGCAGAGCAGCCCCCAGTGCATTTTTTGTTGTGGTTTTGGTGCTGGAGCAGCACACACACATTTCCCAGGCGACCACCAGGGCCCAAGGGATGGGAAGAGCTTCTTTGCGATCCTGCGATGTGCCTTGCAAAGAATATGCCGAGATGACTGGGCTTTGCAGTGCGAAGGCCAGAGATTGCCGCTGTGCGTGCTTGGCTGTCCATTTCAGAGTTTTGATTGCCGATCTGGCGGATGTTTGGTGCACTTCTCTGTCTTGGCTGTGCGATGCTCGGGCCGCTGCCAGAAAATCGAGCAGAGGCGCAAGCTCCACCTCAGCGAAAGCAATGCCCGAGCTGTGCAAGAACATCACAAAGAGGGAGCCGTCTCTCAAGTATCGCTCCAGGGTGCTGGGCCGAAAATTTACTAGAATTGCCAGGAGGTGCTTGGTCGGGTCTTTGCAAGGCTGCAGAGAGACCCAAAAAACCGAAGCAGACCCCAGTTTGAGAACAAGTTGACACCATGCGGTGCCGCAGGCTTGGTGTCGGGCGGCCGAGGCTTGTCTAGTGCTGGCTGCGCGAACCTTATGAGGCCGGGGGCGGCAAAAGTAAAGCAGGCGGGGCAGTTGCGTTGTGGACCGTCAGTTGCGGGGGCGGCTCTCTAGATATGTCATGCGGCAAAGGCTGAGCTAGAACTAGACTACGGGGCAGTGCGGGGCGGGCCGGTTCAGTTAAACCACCCCGTGGGGGCGGCGAGGCTGAGCGCGAGCGCTTAAGCAGCCGAGGAACCGGCAATGGTGTTTCTGGGGTTGCCGCCGGGAAGAAAGCCCGGCGCGGGGCACTATGTGAGACCCGCGGCGGCGGTCTAGCTAAGTCCGCGACAGTGGGCAGCGTGCCATGCGGGCTCGACCGCGGCCGAAACCCTGGCGGTGCTGCTTTGCTTTGCCGTACTAGGGCTAAATCGTTCAACCCAGTGTCCCCGGCAGTGCTGGACGCAGGCTCTCCCCGACTGCGAGGGAAGTAGCTATGCAGGTCGTTGGGGCCTGTGAGGTCAACTACTTCAAAGCTCGGTGAAAACTCCGAGCTCGGAGCCTCCGATGCAGGGTTCTCGGACGCATTGCTGTGCTCTGTGGCTTTGCGGAGGGCTGCTTGAGCCGCCCACTGCCGCCCACCGTCGCCTCATTACGATGGCATCGGGAAGCCGAAAAAAGGAAGCGTAGCAAGCGCAAAGTTTTGAGCCTAAGCCGTGCAACATGCGGTGCAAAGAAGACTTGCAACGGTTCAGTGCAGGCAACCGACATGCTGAGAAGCGCAAGCTGGGCTGTGCGAGTGCCGAGCCCAGGCCATCACCACAATGTAGAGGAGGAAGACGATGCGGTACCTGGCAGTGCAAAGACAGAGCTAGCTAAGTCAACGAAACTGGGACCGATTGCGGCCTAGGCAATGCTGTGCTAGAGCAGCGATGCCACGGGGGGTCCTGTCGGCAAGAAGAGACTAGGCGAAGAATGGAACAAAGATCGCCCTAAAAGACCTATGCAACGTGCAGTGCAACGTGGGGCCTTTTTCTGTGCAATGCGATGCAATCAAAGCCTCCTGTGCGGGTCAGTGCTAGAAGAGGCTATGCGTTGCTATGCGTCACGATCTTTGCACTTTGAGCATCTGTGCGGCTCGTGCAGATCGGTTTCTAGCGGGGTGCGCAGTGGCTTTTCACATGCGCGGCCACCGAACTGGCAGTGCACGTTTTCACACCGTGCCGCGCAACTGCCGTCGGTGTCTTGCGCCCACCTGATCTCGGTGAGTACTTTGTGCGAGGCTTCCACAAACTGTGTGTTGCGGGGCGGGTTGCCATGGTATCTGTCATGCTGTGCCGGTGCGGGGCGTGGGAAGCTGTGCGGTGCTGGCGGTGGCTGTGCCCATCTTGCGGGGTGTGCGTCGCCCCACGTTGCTTGGCGGCCCCGGCGGTGCTGCTGGACATCCTCTGGTCCAGGCGTTCCCACAAGGCTCTGCGGTGCTCCTCCTCATCTTGGAGGTCTGCCCAAGATTGCTGTTGTTCCTGGCGATGCCGTGCCCGATCGAAGTCGCCGTAGCTCCAACGTTGCGGTGCACGACCCCCTTTGCCGGGCGGTGCTGAGTAGGACGGTGCACCTTGCTGGTCATAACCCTGTGCCAGGAAACCAGACCACAGCCGTGGCTATGCGAAAGAAACCTCTCATGTCTTGCGGTGCTCGAGCATTCCGTGCGAGGCCTGGCCCAAGGCAGAGCAAAGCAGAAACTCCGCCAAACCAATGCAGGGCGGCCGTCCAGAAGTATAAAATTTGCCCTTTGCTGTGCAGTGCGAGTTCTGTACAAGATCATGCCATCCACCACCAGCACGTTGCGGATGTCCTGGTGGCTGAGCAGTGCCACAATGCGAAACCAGGCTCGGAGGTCCTGTGCGATGCAGCGCAACGTTGGGCGCGCATCTCTGGGCCGGGCTCTGCGTCCGGCTCCTGCGGTGCCGGGCCTGGTGCCAGTGCTGAGACGAATCTGCAGTGCTGTTGCCACAGAACACTGCTGTGCCAATTACCAATAATGCGTTGCAAGAGCTTTGCCCGCATGCTCAGGGAATCCTGAGCCTGCCAGTGCGTCAGCTGTGCGCGGCGAACAAAACAGGTCCAAACCTCGAAGAAGAACTGCAGTGCTTGTGCCACCCAGCTGCCAGCCACAGCAGTGCATCAGTGCCATGAGCCGAAGAGGCCATGCTATGCTGTGCGAGAACGCAAGTACTGCAGTGCTTCTGTGCTATGCAAGTTTGTTGTGAGGATTCGTCGATCCCCTGGCGTAAGGTCCCAAACCCTGCCATTCTGCGGTGCACTGTGCAATGCATAAGTGACAATTCTGTCGGGGTGCTCAAGGAAGCGGAGCAAAATGCTAGCAGTGCGTTGCGAGAGAAAAATTTCAGGCAAGCCTCCTGAAATTTACTCTGCACCACCGGGGTTGGTGCTGCTCAAGTGCAACGGGGCCTCCACCAAGATGGCCGTGCGGTGCTGGAACAAAGGCGGTTCCGGCGTGGCAATGGCAATGCGTTGCTTCTTGTTGCCCTGGCGGTGCGACATAGCGGGCTGAAGAGCTAAGTGTCGGGTCGCGAGTCAAGCTCGTGCAATGCAACGCCAGGCGGAGCGTCAGTGCTTTCGGGCTGGCCCTCAAATTGCACAATGCGACGTTCCAGTGCACACAAATAACCCCACAAGGACTGCAGTCTGAGGCTAAGCTTATCGATGCGCAGGTGCAACTGCGTTGAACACTCTAAAGTATCTTCGGCCAGCTCCTGCAAGGCCTTGACCAGCCGTGCAGTGCGGTGCGAATCCGGAGGTCCGGTCAGCGAAGCCATGCGGGACACGGCTAAAATGGCTGCGGCGCAACATGTTGCAAAAAGCTCGAAGTCTTTGTGCTGCTGCTTGTGAAATTTTTTCTATGCTTGCGGGGCCGCGGCCCGTTCTGCAGTGTATCCTATGTTAGTTTGAGCATCCGAAGCGGCGCGGTGCTTAACATGACAACACATAGAAAACACTGCTGACTAAACAAACAAACGCACAGCGAGCGCCTTGCGTCGTCTCTTCCAGCGTCTGCCTCGGAGTTCGCATCTACAACACCCTCACAGTGGCTGCCTTTGTGCTATGTTCTTTTCAACGGCCCTGCGTTCCAGCCTCCTGATTGTAGAAGGCTTTTCGGCTGGCAGCTACACCGGTGCAAGATCACCTACCGCGTACCACGCAAGAAATGCAAGGAGGTCCGA